CTTGATTATCCAATCATGTAACAGGGAGTTGAATGTGTTCTTGCAATCAACCCAAGTACATTCAAGCTAGTTTTCTTTCTCTTGCAATTTGCCACAATCATCTTTTCAATTAGGAATTGATCTTTTGTTTCTCTATTAATATTATCTTGATTGTACATGCTTAAGCAACATCTCAGCTACATATGAAGCATGTTTTTTTTATTTTACTTAGGATTCCATATGGTAAATTAACCATCAAAGACATCCATTTTTCTTAGATAAAAAAAAATCCAAGGAATAACAGAACAGAATTGGAAGAGACCTTGAAGGTCTTTTAGTCAACACTCTGCAGGAAACCTTATACCATTTCAAACAAACCTATAGTATTTAGTTTAAAAATTCATAGGTCAATTTATCCCTGGATAGCTTACACATATATGGTAATTTAGTTCGACATTTTGCTGTTTGTTTTCTAGATAGTCAAATGTTATATTATTCTTTGTTTCAGAATATATTCCGTGCCCAATTTATTTTAAAAATCATCAAACTCCAACATATTTGAAAAAACTAAGCTTTAAAATTGCAACTTTATAATAAAATCAATGTAGATTAAATTTTACAATAGTAAACTTGATATGCTCGTGAAAGTTGTGTATCTAATAAAATATTTTTATGGATATCCATGTTTGGAACAAAATGTTACATATCCCTAATAGGAAAACAAATGAATGTTCATAAGAAAACTTATGCTCCCCACACTTTTATATATGGTTAAAACTGATAAGCAAACATTTCAGGGGAAAAAATAGTTCCATAAATGTTTGTATAAACAATAACTTCTGTTGAGCTAAAAATATAGTGAATTTTTCTGGTAACTAGGCAACAAGAAAAAAGTCACTTACCTGAATTGCAGTTTGTTTTATGTTATTTCTAAATCCTAACTATACAGATTTTTATTCTCTGTTCTTCAAGATGGCACAAAGAGTGCCCGTTTATTGTTTAGCTAAATTGCTTAATGTATTATTTGATAGAGAAAGCAAATCAGACAATCTCTCCTTTATCTGTAATCAGTTATTAGTATTTATCCCTTATCTTTTTATAAATATATGAACATAATGTAGCAAATGGCATACTTCGGTAACTTGCATAAGTATCAGAATGTTGAAGGCATGAAATCAGCATTTTTTCTTTTATGCCAAGCAATTCAAATATTGCTCCTTTCTTATTATCTTCATAGAGTATATATTTTATTCTTATGTGCTGCTTATTTTACACTTAACTAAAAGACAAAGTAGATTTTTCTGCCTGATATATATAATTTGATATGAAAATGGAGCAACTAAAGGAAAATGGTAAGATACCTGATATATTCAATTGACTTCTAATGTTTTCATCTCATTCCCATCGATTACTTTTCTTTCCCTTACCCGCTTTAGTAATATTCCCAGCAAATCATTCAGAAGAAAGTTGTGAAACTTGATTTGAAAAGTGGGACATCTTTCATCTTCTAGAGCAGCAATGGTGAACCTTTTTTGGCTTGTGTGCCATAAGGTGTGCGCACCCATAATGCAACCTGCTCTCCTCATTTTTCCATGCTTTTTTCGCCCTTCCCAGGCTCCAGAGGCTCGGAAGGGCAAAAAACGACCCTACAAGCAAACTGGATTACTTCCACTTTGCTCATAGGGTCGGTTTAAGCTCTCCAGAGGCTTCAGGGACCTTCAGGAGGTTTCCCTGAAGCCTCCGGAGGACTAAAAAGGACCCTACGAGCAAACCGGGACTTCCGGTTTGCTCATAGGGTGGTTTTTAGTCCTCCGGAAGCTTCAAGGAAGCCTCCTGAAGGTCCCTGAAGCCTCTGGAGGGCTTAAACTGACTCTACGAGCAAACAGGAAGTGACTTCCAGTTTGCTCGTAGGGTCCTTTTTAGTCATCCAACAGCTTCAGCGAAGCCTCCTGAAGGTCCCTGAAGCCTCCGGAGGGCTTAAACTGACCCCACGAGCAAACCAGAAATCTGTTCCCGAACTTCCGGTTTGCCCATACTGCCATTTTTTTTGCGGTCCGGAGGCTTCAGGGAAGCTCCTGAAGCCTACGGGGGGCGGGGGGCTCTTTTCACCCTCCCCAGGCTCCTATAAAGCTTCTGGAGCCTAGAGAGGGCAAAAAATGTCTTTAAAAAAGGCTGAACTGAGCTGGCCAGCACACCTATGCGTGCTGGCCAGCTGACATGGCAACGCCTCATGTGCCCTGACAAATGGCTCTGTGTGCCACCTCTGGCATGCGTGCCATAGGTTCGCCATCCCAGTTCTAGAGAAATTTCAAACTTTTTCAGGCAGCAGAACTTGCCAGCTGTAGAATTTTTTAAAAGCAAAATTCTGAAATTGAATTGTAGTTCGAAGTTCGAATTGTAGAAAGTTGGCTCATTTAAAGGGGGGTGGGGTTGTACCTCTTTTTCACAGAATGCCACAAAACCTCAAAGATTCCTCAAGGCAGAGTTTGAATAACCCCCAATCTAATATATTCTGTATTTCAGACTTGACTCATGATAGAAATGCTATTTGTATATATGGAATGATTAAGGCTGCAGTCTTATGCTTCCTGATAAGACCACTCAGTACTGTAAAAGTTACAATATTAATTCAAAGTCTGTCAATCCTCACCAAATTGGAAGATTTTCAACATTCCCCTACAACCTGCTGTGTGAAACTGTTAAAGAAATAGTAATGGTGGTAATTTTATTAGTCATTTAGAATTGGAGGGACAATTACTTCCATTGTTTAGTAGGATTTTTTTTATTGAATTTATTTAGTTACCTATCTGTAATTCTGAATGGCGTTCTTACTTGAAATCATGAATCTTTTCTGAAAAATTCTCCAAAGTTATATACATAAGATCACAGAGTTGAAAGGCATCATTTAGGTGAAGTCAGTCCCCTGCTCAATGCAGAAATCCAAATTATGGTATAGCACCTCAGCTATATGGCTATCTAGGCCCTGCTAAAATAAGTGCAGTGATCAGCTGTATCCACTATCAAACTGTTCTTTTTTTTTCTAAGTTTAAATTAAATTAAATGTTTCCTTTAAAAACCTTTTAAAATGTTCATTTGGGAATTCAACATTATTTGATGTTACATCATTTGGCTACAAATCAAATCATGCCATCCAGAGTCACCTTGTAGGGGAGATGAGCAGCATAAAAATTAATAAATAAAAATAAATTGCCAACCACTTCTGACTTATTGCTTCTGAGGGGTCATTGGTGCTCTCTCAGTTTGGTTGTTTTCTTGCAGATGTTTCATTACTCAAACTGGGAAACATCATCAGTGTTAGTGAGGAATGCGGTTTGTTCCCTATTTTATGTTCTAGTGCAGTGGTTCTCAACCTTTGGGTAGGTACCCCTTTGGGGGGTCAAACGACCCTTTCACAAGGGTCGCCTAAGACCATTGGAAAACACACATTTTCTAAAAAATATGGAAAACATAAATAATTTTATGGTTGGGGTTCACCACAACATGAGGAACTGTATTAAAGGGTTGCGGCATTAGGAAGGTTAAGACGCACTGTTCTAGTGACTTGCTCTATCAGTGTTGGTGGGAGTTGTCTTAGTGATTCCTTAGTTGGCCAGTTTAGGCATATCTTGATTAGCATATTGTTTGCTTCTTGATTGTTGTGTCTAATGTTAATGTTGGTGTTAATCTCTGTTCATCTGGCTGTTGCTAGTTCATGAGAACATATTTAGGCCTTTTTGTTCTCTTTTTGACTAGTTAATATTTGATTGTTTCTTTTGCATAATATGTTGTTTGTGTCTATGTTTCTTTAGAAGACCAATTTGTCAGACTGTCAGGCTTCCAAGAATTTCCTAGTCTTGCCATGGTCTAGAAGGGTCACAATTTCCAAGTTGAAACTATGTTTAAGTCTGTTCATGTGTTGTGAAATTAAGTAATCATGACTACTAATTGGTTTCATGGATGTGCTCTGCTAGTCTTCCACTTGTTTGTCCTGTCTTAATTCCAGTGTAATTCTTACACTGTATGTTGTAGATAACTCCTGGTTGTTGTTTTTTTACAGTTCCTGTGTCTTTTGATTTACTTAGAATGTTTTGGAGGGCTTTAATTGGTATTTGTGGTATGTTGATGTCATGTGCTTGTAATAGTCTGTTGGTGGTTTCTGAAATGTTTTAGATGTGTGGCAGTGTTATCCTTTTCACAGCTTGTGTTGGTTGTCCTTTATTGAGTTCAGTGGTCAGGCACTTTTTGATAAAATTGCATGGATATCCATTGTGTTGGAAGATTTGTATAGATTATTTCTTTCTTCTTTCAGATATTCAGAGTTGCTGCACTGTGTTTGTACTCATCTAAATAGTGTTCTTCTACAGCTTCTCTTGTGGGATGGTGGGTTGTTACTTTGCTAGTGCAGCTCTTGGTTGGGGTGGGTGACTTTTCGATAAATTTGTGTTTCTAGTTTGCTATTGCAGTCTCTGTTGATAAGGATATTCAAGAAGGTTAATATATTGTTGTTTTCTACTTCTCTTAATAGCACTACAATGACTAACACTGTTTAAGCTCACATTTGTTTAATCATATAGTACAATAATACAATAGCAGAGTTGGAAGGGACCTTGGAGGTCTTCTAGTCCAACCCCCTGCCTAGGCAGGAAACCCTATACTGTTTCAGACAAATGGCTATCCAACATCTTCTTAAAGACTTCTTAATCAATCCATTTTTTTGACTTTTTACCTGCTTCAGTGCTCAGTGCTACCTTCTGGACGTTCACAAAGATGGTTGGGAACAAAAAAGTCAAGGCCACAACCATGCGATGGAAGTCATTCCTTTTTTCACATGGATCATGTGAAAAAAGAGGCAGGGCTACCATCGCAACTATATATATAACAATAGATGTAGTTAATGTATTCTGTTTAATAAATATATTTTAATCAGTTCTATTTATTATATCTGCAGAAATGTAGAGTATTAAATTATAATATTTACACTATATTACAATTTTAGCCTTATTCTTAAACTTTTTTTCTAGATATTTCCATACTATATATTTGGGCATTCGGAGTAGACAGAGTGCAGAGAATGACAGGTGGCGTTTTTATTGGAAAATGGTCTATGAGTATGCAGATGTGAGTATGCTGCATTTGCTTGCTACATTTCTGGAAAGTGCCCCACAATTGGTCCTCCAACTCTGCATTGTTGTACAGACACGTACCCTTCAGGCCCTTCAAGGTAAGGATTTCCCTGTTACTTTTTTCTAGATTTATATCTATGCGTATAAAAACCTGGATTAGCTTCACAGTTTAATTTCATGGGCAATAACATTGCTTCATCAGATTGCAATCAAATTAAAGATCTTTAGACTACTTTTCAGAAATAAAGTTACATCAGATTTCTACAAGACTAGACACAATATATATGACTTTAACATTTTTACAGATCTAACTATCTTCTGTACAAACTCTAAAACATAAATGAGCCATCTATAGTTCATAAGCCATCTGCAACCCCATAATTTTTTGGAAGAGCAAAGTTGGCATGTCTTCTCTCTCTTCTCTCTTCTCTCTCTCCCTCTCTCTCTCTCCCCCTCCCTCTGTCCCTCCCTTTTTCTCTATAGATATAGAGACATAGATAAACAGAGTTCTGAAAATAGAGTTCTCACAACAATCCCTGCTAATACTATTACTCAAACAAATAAACTGGTACAAATGCTGTATTTGATGATAAGTATTCTAAATTAATTAAATATTTCAAACCCCAAGTCCTTTCTTTCCAAGGAGGCAGGTATGTAAAATATGTATTCATCTCTTAACTCCTCAAAATACAAACAACTACGTTATAGGATAATGGCACAAACTGTCAAGTTGGAATTTGTACAGACATCATAGCCATGCACTAACAATGAACATCAAGCAAATAGCACTAATACAGAAACTTTGTAATTCAGCCATGCATATGTATCAACTGATTTTTTTCAATTTGATAAGAGGAAGGATTTATAATCAATTTTGAGGGAAATCAGTTTTTTGATAAAGTGATGATTATTTTCTCTTCCAAGTTACTCTTTGAATGATAATGTTTCATTAGAAAAGCAAGCCAACTGTTCACAGAGGCTCCATTTGCATTTTTATGTACATAATACACAGGAACATTCTAATACATGTGCATAAGTGAAAGAAGACATTCCACCCACCACCTATTTGCATAGAATAGTGTTTGAAATCAGACTTGACATTTGAGATGTTCTGATTTTAAGAACTGTATCTTGAGAGGGTGGCCTTTGATTAGAATAAGTAGACAATTTTACATGTGTGAATATCTAATTGTGTATAAGTTTGTATTCTATTGCTAAATCTTACCTTTAATGATTAATCTGATAGTGTCAATGATTTTTCTCTATATATAATACTTTGCATGCACATTAGAAAGCATAAATAAATGGAGTACTGTTTCTTAAATCATATATTCTGCTGTTGGATCAATTAAGAAATAGAAATTCATTCTAGCATTTTAGAATGCTTTAGCAGACATCATACAATGAAAAAAATTTTTGTAGTCATGATACTTCTATCAAAGGAAAATTCATTTCCTTTGTTTTAATGCTTTATATTATTTTGTACCTTATTACCTTTAAAATCTGTGTTATCTTTTTACAAATGAATATAATTAAATATATGCTGGTGCCACAAAATATACCTTTGTAAAATAAAAGATTGATATGTGAGATATATATCAATTACTGATTTTTACTATTTTTAAAACCAAGTTACTTTTAAGTATTGATCTCTTCATTTATTATTGTGCCATGCTATGTTGGAACACTTTCATTTTTTCTAACTTATAGAATTTATGCAATGGGGCTCAGAAAACTACCTGTCAATTTACTACCAGAATGGTCCTCTGAAAACAAGATGGGACCAAATTTGGATTGGAGAAGAAAACAAAGTTTGAGTTTGAAAAATGGCTAGATCAGCTCAAGGGCTCCAGAAAAGAAATAACCAGGAAACAATTTCCCAGTGGATCTCTATGGAGGAATAGTTAGATAGTTGTCCAGAAAGTTGCTCACAGTTCCATCCCAAGCACCCTTACTCCCAACTACATGATCCAGACTAGGAGCTCAGCATTTGCAGCCTACCCTGCACTTCCCTTGCATGTATACACCCAAACACATTCAGATGCTCCAAGAGAGGAAAGCAAAAGCACACCTAAAGGTATTATATCCATGCATCAGCTGATTAGATTCTCATAGACACACAAACAACAGATGTGCAAACAGCCTGATTAGTTTATGGTGAGAAAGTATATGCAAATCAAGATGCAACATGTTACATAGTTACAAAGAAGAACATTCAGATGTTTCTATCATAGGAATCCAATGTGAACTGTAATGATCAAACTGTAATGAAATGTACATTAAAATGCCACAACCAAATCCTGGCCTTTCCTATTTCTGCCCTGATATTGTACACAAATATTTGAATCTCGTGGTTTAAGTCTGATGTCACAAAACACACATTTCATTTGTCTCCTGTTCCATGACTCTTAAGGTTGAAAAAAGGTTTGAAAAGTATTTAAAAAAACCTAGCTGCATATTTTCCGTACTTTGTCTTCTGTTCAATTGTGTCCAATTCTTTTAAGACTGCCTGGACAAGTCCCTGCAGTTTTATTAACAAGATTTTTTTAAAGGAATGGTTTGTCATTGCTTCCCTTCTGGGGCTCAAAGGGAGTGCCTTGCTCAAGATCAACCAGCTGACTTTATGCTCAGGTGGGAATAGAAAGCCGGGTCTCTTCTTTCTGGACTGATACCTTAACCATTACATCAAACTGGCTACATTTATTCTATTTCATTTTGGGAAAGGTGGGTAGAGGAATTATGTCATGTCTATTGACATTTTTTTCCAAATTTTTAATCTCAATTTTAGACATGAACTACCCTACCTGCAGATTTTCAATAAATGGCAGACAAATCTTACACAGGTGATTTTCTATAGATAATAATGAAGTAACTCTTTTCTTCTCTATTAATTATCAAATTAAAACTGATATTTTTATTACACTCCAATAATCAAAAATAATAGTTAAAATTGGACAGATACCACATTACTGGATGGCAAAGAGTAAATTGTGGAGAGGAACATCTTTGTCAAAAGCTTCTGATGGTTGGCCCCCCCAAAACTGGGAGTTGCAGAGTTGATGCAGAATGAATCTTTGAAGCCAAAGATCATTCTTCTCCTGATGGTTCACCATAATGGTCGTTCACTATATCTGATTGGTGTCTGCATAACCAGTATCTCCCCTACTGACTTACATAGGATGGAGAACTCCTAGTATTAAAGAACTACAGGGCTGCTAAACTCCTGGTTTCACTTTCTTTCCTCATCAACCAACCTGGACATGATAATAGTCCACTATTTTGATAGTCTCTTGCTCCCCTTAGATGCAGATAAATCTTCTTTCTTCCTAAACACTCACAACTCAAGAAGTTGCTTTGGGTTGCATACTATGTTTCTACCGTATCAAATCAATTTTAAGGGATGAAAGAGTTTACATTTCCTCAGAACAATAGATTAGATTAACATACAGTGGAACTTCTCTTGTTAGAAGATCAAGCTGTCTAAATCCATTTTGGATAATTCACAACTGCATAGCCTTTAACTTAGCATAGTAACTATTGTTAACAGATTAATTAAAATTTTAGAAACATACTCAAGGGTTACTAGCATTGTTTAATGCTTTAGGCATTGAAGTAAGACTGGGGAAACTCACATACAAGTCCCTGTTAAGCCACAGAAACTCATTGATAGTCAATCACTATCTCTCAAGAGTTGTTTTGTGGGAGGAAAAGTAATGCAATAAATGTGACCCTGAACCCACAAAAAACAAATAGGATGTAAAGGTAACAAATCAAATTGGTAAAGATGCATAATATCCTGACATGAATACATAAATAGAAGGAAAAAGAATATACATTTACATTTCTAGGGAAGTTAAGCAATAGACATTTTTAAACTAACTTTTAACTGACAAGTGTTGTGATTTTGTTTTATCCTTTAGAAAGGGCAATCTTTTACTCAAGAATAGAACATAATGACAATTCACTGTAGCTCTTCAGATAATATAATATTTAAGAGGCTGAAATACTATAGAACTGTATAAATGAAGCTTAATTTTTCACAGCTGCGCCCTGTTGCAGCAGATTTTATTTTTAAATACCAAAGCAATGCCTTCTCATTTTCTTTTTTTCTAAATGCAGCCTCAGAAGAAAAGGCCAATTGCTATGCCAATTATTCAGTGATCAATGCACATCCTTTTCAATGTTTTCAGAGGATTGTGTCATTAGAATTATTATTCAGCAACTTTTTTCTTCTGTTGAGAAGACTAGTCATTAAAAATATATTCTGTGTCAGAGCCCCAGAATCTAATTTATTTTACATAAACACATTTATGAAACAATGAATATCAGTTAGATCCTTTAAAATGAAGAGAACACTATCATGTTATATTTTACTAGGCAGAATAAAGCATACAGTTCAACATTCAAGCACTCCTTTCTCCATTCAGATCTACATCTGAAGATGCAATGAACAGCCAATTTCATTCAAGCCTTAATTTTTTTTAAATAATTTCTAAAATCAAACAGGGATGAGATTGAGCAAAGTCACCTTTTTATACAGTAAATTTCTAAGTATTTAGTGCTTTCTCAAACCATGTTGTCTGGTGAGATCTACAAGAGATGGTTTTCTGGAATACTGCCATCTACAAAGGATTGAGTAGATAAGGTTGACCCTTCCCTATGATAGCATCCCTTTTTCAGGAAACTTGCCCTGACTATCCAAATCTTACCCATATTATTACACTTCTAGACTATAAATACATGGTTCTTTAGAAGAATATTTGGGTGTATATTATGCTTTTGATGATCCTTTCTTTCGTTGTTGAAGTTCATTATATTTTTAATTTAATGTACTATTTATTTGTGTATATAAGTTGCTCACAGCCTTTGGCAATTGAGTGACATAAAGATATATTTAGTGCAGTAGATAACATCTATGTATAATAATGAATATCTTTCTCATTAAATAGTGAGTTTTTCTATATGTGCTTTGAGTTGCCACAAGTGCAATCCATTGAATTTAGCCATTACAGGAAATTCATTACCACTAAATCCCTAGGAATCTCTTGTTCAGTTTCTACTTAAAAACATTCAACAAAGGACACTCTTACTTACTTAT